CTATAAAGTATATATATTCTTGATCAGGATCACCTCCTGAGTTGATATAGCCATGTCCGTCTGTCCGTCTGTCCGTCTGTCCGTCTGTCGTCTGTCCGTCTGTCCGTTGTCTGTCCGTCTGTTGTTTTACGCGAACTAGTTCTGTTTTAAAGATATCAATTGAAACTTTGCACCCCTTCTTTCTTTGCGCAGTTATAGTCGGAACGGCGGGATCGGCCGACTATATCCTATAGCTGCCATATAACTGACGATCGGAAATGCCATACTTTGGTGTTTGTAAAGTTAGGAAGTTGTATTTTATGGGTTTTGTTTTGGCTAATCAATCCGACTGCCATTTCTAGGATCGGCCGACTATATCCTATAGTTCCATATAACTGATTGATCGGAAATGCCTAACTTTGGTGTTTGTAAGTTGATGTTGGGTTTTCTATGGGTTTTATATTTGGCTATCACCGCTGCCAATTTTAGGATCGGCCGACTTATCCTTGTGCCATTAACTGTTGTAATGCCTACTTTGGTGTTGTAGTTGAGTCGGTTTTATGGTGTTTTTTGATCCCTCATTTTAGGATCGGCCGATTATATCCTTAGCTGTCTGAACATTGGATGTTACTTTGTGTTTTAAGTTGAAGTTGGTTTATGTTTAGAATGTGAATATTTTGAGAATATATTTCTCACTTTGTTGTGTAGTAATATATTTAATTACTCAATTTATTTAATCTCAAAACAGGCAAATCTCTTTTGTGTTATGTCTTGTGTTTTAAGGTAAAGCTATTATTGAAGCGTTCCTTGTTTTATGAATAAGGTATTAAAATCCCGCTCCGAGCGATTTAATCAAAGTATACCTCTGTTGGTTTTTCTGAATTAAACAGCTCAATAACCCAGAACAGTTTATTATTCAGCTATAATTATCCATAGTTAATTATTCATGCAATGCTATTGAACCCACAAAAGAGATTTCAATCAAGTTTATTAATATTAAAACACATGAAATGACTTTTATTAATTTGGAATATAATTTATTAACTTATTGTTTATTTCGTTTGTTCTTTTATTTCCTTAATCCTCGCCTCATTTCCATTTAACATCACCCCAATCACAACCATCCAACCACCTACAAATCCCACTCCAAAAGTGAAACTCAAAAAACGCAAATCCCAAGGCCATTCCACCAAATCCCTTCAGACCTTTGACAATATGACCAAGCGTCGCAAACCCTATAATTCGGGTGAGCAGCTGCGCACCAAGTCCGGTGGCAGTCCCCGCTTTTCGGACGAGGACGATGACCTGGACGAAGACGATTCGGGTACGACACGACTGAGGATTCCTTCTGGAAAGCTTCCCAGGTTCGAGAAACCGCTCAACGATCGCATGTTTAATATACTAAATACGGCAAGTGCCCTTCCGCTCGAGAATCAATCCAAGAACTACGAGGACGAAGACGATGACTATGACGATGACGAAGACGATCCAGCTACCAAGAAGGCTCTTCTGGAGGCCTACAAACAGGGCGAGGACCCACAGAAAATACTGGACTCCTATCGGGCGAGCAATATCAAGAAATCCCAGCAGCAAAAACAATCCCCTGCTTTCCCAGATTCCCCCGAACAGGATCCGAGTGCCCAGCATCCTGGTTCCAAGGTCCTGGACAGTGGACTCCAAGCCCGATTGCCCAGTCAGCCACGCGACCTGGTGGCGCAGATTGTGAAGTCTCGATTCGTGACCCTTAGCTGGGTGGAACCCATCCAGAATCCCGGCGATGTGGTCTACTACACAGTCTACTACAAGATGAACAACAGCGAGAGGTGAGTAGCGGGAAATCATCGCATTACCCGCATAAAAGGCATCCGCTCCATTAACCAGCAATTAGCCGAGATTAACCCTATTTGCATAGTTAGCCAGTCGCCTAATGGCTTCATCTCCTCAGTCAAGCGGAAATGATTTCGCTTTCGATTCAATCAGATGTCTGTCTGTCTGGCTTTCATCCTGTGCCCATTTCCTGACCCCACCTTCTCAAGGAGTTCGTGCGTATGTTGCTTGGAAAACCTTCTGCAATTAGCAGGAACGAAAATATCTAAAATATCTCAATTTTTATCTAAAGAATAAACTAGAGTCTTTTAAAAATAAAACATTAATATTTGCTAGCTTAATATATTTTGCGTTCAAAAAATACTAATTTAAATGACAAAAGTTTTAATGTTAACTTGCTATTAGTAAAAAATTCGTTAAAATATTAAGTCTCATATTTTTTGACCCTTATAAATAATTCTAAATAATTCGGAATTCAATTTTAAATTAAATCAAGTCGCGGTAGGATTTTATTCTAGGAACACCAATTTATCTTATTACTGTATACTATGGATAGATAATGTTCTTGACAAAACATAAATAATAACCATTTCAACTTAAGAGAAGCAATTATTTATTTATATCCAAAACTACGATTTCAGGGAACAAAAAATGGTTACCAAATCCCATGACGATCAGCAGGTCAACATTCAATCACTGCTACCAGGCAGAACTTACCAATTCCGTGTGGAGGCCAATACAAATTTTGGGAGCGGCGCATCCTCGACTCCACTGGAGGTCAGTACCCAACCGGAGGTGAACATTGCGGGTCCACCACGTAACTTTGAGGGATATGCCCGTAGTCACAATGAGATATACGTGAAGTGGGGAGAGCCCGCTGTGACCAATGGGGAGATACTCAAGTATCGGGTTTACTACTCGGAGGTGAGATAAAAATACTATTTAAGTTTTCAAATTTTGCATTTGCTAATTCTCTGAATAATATAACAACAGAACGACAGTGGTGCTGATTTGTATCACGATAGCACTGCTCTGGATGCTGTGCTAACGGAGCTGCGTCCCCATACGGACTACGTGATTTCTGTGGTACCCTTTAATAGAAATGGAATGGGCGATCCTTCGGCAGAGATCCGTGTGAAAACGTTTTCGTCCACGCCATCGGAGCCGCCCAATAATGTCACTCTAGAGGTGACAAGTTCCAGCGTAAGTGTATTTAAATTCTTAAAACAATAAACATAACTTTACGAACTTATGAAATACATTACCTAACTAGTCCATAACCGTCCACTGGGAGCCACCTGCAGAGGAGGATCGCAATGGCCAGATTACTGGCTACAAGATTAGGTATCGCAAGTTCAAAGATGCCCCCCAAGTAAAGAGTACTCCGGCCAATATTCGATACTTTGAGTTGAGCAGCTTAGATCGCAATGCAGAGTACCAGGTGAAGATAGCGGCCATGACGGTGAACGGGTCGGGACCTTTTACTGAATGGTATCGCGTCAACACACTGGAGAATGATCTGGACGAGACGCAGGTGCCAGGAAAACCAATTTGGAAAAGCATTCATCCTGGAGCCAACAACATTGCCCTCCACTGGGGTCCACCGCAGCAGCCAGAGATTAAGATACGCAACTATGTGCTGGGCTGGGGTCGCGGAATTCCCGACGAGAACTATATCGAGCTGAAGGAGACGGAACGCTATCATATACTTAAGAATCTTGAGCCGAATATGGAATATGTGGTGTCCCTAAGGGCTAGGAATGTTAAGGGCGACGGCCCACCTATTTATGACAACATTAAGACTCGCGATGAGGAGCCTGTAGATGCACCCACACCGTTGGAGGTTCCAGTGGGTCTGCGGGCCATCACCATGTCCAGCTCCTCGATTGTGGTCTACTGGATCGACACGATGCTAAACAAGAACCAGCATGTGACAGATAATCGGCATTATACGGTTAGCTATGGCATCACGGGATCCAATCGATATCGCTACCACAACACCTCGGACCTCAATTGCATGATCAATGACTTGCGACCCAATACGCAATATGAGTTTGCAGTGAAAGTGGTTAAAGGTCGTAGGGAGTCATCCTGGTCGATGTCCGTGCTGAATAGCACGTATCAAAATGTACCGGTTACCCCGCCGCGAGAGGTTACTGTTCGCCTGGATGAACTGAATCCACCCACCGTGATCATCCAGTGGATTCCACCAAAGCACACTGTTGGTCAGATCACTGGCTACAATATATACTACACAACGGACACCACAAAGAGGGATCGCGATTGGGCAGTCGAGGCCTTCACCGGCGAGGAGACCATGCTGATGTTACCAAACCTGAAACCTTACACTACTTACTACTTTAAAGTTCAGGCGAGAACTACCAAGGGGAATAACAATACTCCTTTCTCGGCCCTGGTATCTTACACCACTAGTGCAGCGGTTATAATGCAGGAGGCCGACACCATAGCCAAGGGAATCGACAACGAGAAGCTGTTGTACATTATTATTGGGGCTACGGCCGTAGTACTACTGGTGGTTCTCTTCGGTATTCTATTGCTATGCCGGCGTAAACCTCAATCTTCGCCAGAACACACAAAAAAGAGGTGGGTTGCCTATCTACTAATAGTATCCTGTACATTTTATAAACCCTATGTATTTGCAGCTATCAAAAGAACAACGTAGGCGTGCCTAAGCCACCGGATCTATGGATCCACCATGATCAAATGGAGCTCAAAAACATAGACAAGGGCTTGCACACAGTGACACCTGTCTGCAGCGATGGAGCTTCGAGTAGTGGAGCCCTTACCTTGCCTCGTTCGGTGGTTCACAGCGAATACGAAGTGGAGACGCCAGTGCCGGGTCATGTGACCAATTCGCTGGACAAGCGATCCTACGTGCCAGGATATATGAGTAAGTCGGAAATTCTTTATATAATGGGACTAGTTTTGTAAACGTATACCCATTCCCTTTTCAGCCACATCAATGAACGGAACGATAGAGCGACCCCAGTACCCGCGCACCCAGTATAGCCACCAGAACCGATCCCACATGACCATGGAGGCCGGTCTCTCTCAGCAGAGCCTAACCCAGCCGCAGAGCAACTCGATGGCACAGACTCCTGAGCATCCCTACGGTGGCTACGATGCCAACTTTTGGTAAGTGAAGTGGGCGGTGCTTTTGCTAGGGTTTTTGATGTAAACTCTTATGTCATTGGCACGATGCCAACTTTTGGTAAGTGAAGTGGGCGGTGCTTTTGCTAGGTTTTTTGATGTAAACTCTTATGTCATTGCACGTGCTCCCATTTTGGTGATAGAAATTCTTCAAAATTCCCATATAAATTTTCCTTGCTTTTAATCTCCGCTGTAAACAAGACCATAGACCAAAATGTGCTCGAGGACGCGTTGGGGGCGTATCGATCCCAGTGTACAGGTCAATCTGGTGCATGGACCGAAAAGCAGGGTGATCAAGCTTGATAAGAAAACGCTGCCGCGGCGCGTCGAGCAGCAGCTCCTGCTGATGGCTTCGCCGTCGCCGTTTCTTAACTTCATGAACAAGTTCCGCCTGGACGAGATCCTGATCAACCATCAGTACAAGGGCGTCTACAGCATGCGCACCGCGGCCACAATCACCGAGTTGGCCACCTACACGTGGAACGTGATGTCAGCCTCCGATCGCCAGCCGTACATCCGGCTGGCCCGGAAGGCGCAGCAGATTCAGCTGGCGCGGAAGCTGCACTTTCTGGGCACCAGTAGTCGGCCGGTGGCCAAGAGGGGTTCCCTATGTCCCATTGTTGTTTGAAGCAGTCTTGGCCTCTGTTTAGTAGCATATAAAAAAATATTTTTAATAAATCATTTTTTTATAATGAGAGTCTTTTATTTTGCTTACGTATTCCAGCAATGCAGGCAACGGAGCGGCTGTGTCCACCATCGAAAGTTCGAAGCGTGGGCATCCTCTGAAGAGTTTCAGTGTGCCAGGACCACCGCCCACAGGCGGAGCCACACCCGTTAACAAGCATAGTGAGTATAGTAAATATTACTCAATCTCTTAAAAAGAGTTTTTGCATTTGTAAGAAAAAAACCGAAAACAAAAAAAAGCATGATAAATTTTTAAATTATTAATTAAATATTTAATTCTACAGCCCCCGCCGTCACAATACGTCCACAAAACCAATCGCCCTACAAGAAACCTTCGTTCTCGGCTGCCACGCCCAATCGCCTGCAGGGCGGTGGCTCGGTCGTCCACTCAACCGATGAGATTCAAAGACTGGCCCCCAGCACATCCACCGAGGAGCTCAACCAGGAAATGGCCAATCTGGAAGGCCTGATGAAGGATCTGAGCGCCATTACGGCCAACGAATTCGAGTGTTAACACTGAAGCCGCCTTAAAACTGTCCGGCAGGCTGAAAGTATTAGTCGTCAAACAATGGATGTTACTTGTTTTTTAGTTGCTGTTTTATATTATTGATTTAACTCGAATTCAGTTCCCCCGGAGAGGTCCGTTTAGTTTTAGTTAATCAAATGTGCGATATATTAATGACCTAAAAGAACTGTAAATACGAACGACGCCGCCATATACATTTTTAAGCATAGATACACACATTCATACATACCTATAAATAGCACTTAAGCATAGTTAATTATCGGATAAGGGAAGTGTATAAAACGGGGACAGGAAACAGAGTAAAGAAGTAGATGAAGAGCGTTCATTGTGCAGGATCTGTCTCTAAACTGTCACACGACATTTCATATTTATCACTCTGCATCATCTTAATTTAATCCGTCGACGAAATCGGATAGTCTAAGTCTACATACATAAGCCATTCTATATTCATATGCATACAGCATCTTAGCTAAGTTTCATACTAGTAAAGACTATAAGAACTTAACTTTTATGCTATTATAACCTTAACAAACAATCAAAACAACTCGATCTAGACTTGCCTCTTAAAGTGTTCATCTATTTCTTTTTTTATCCATCATTATCACGCATGAGTTTGATACGTGCCATTTAATAAATGATTTGTCGCCAATACCACAAAACTACTTAAGCTATAAAGTCAAGTTTTAGACTGTAAGCCAGGAGAGCATTTACGATTTAAACAATACTATTAATAAATGGTGGTATGACATTGTCCGTTATATTATGCCAAGAATAAATTAATCTTTTTAAGCAGTTTTTGATGTGTCCAAGTTTTTATTGGCCAAGAAAGTTTTATATTTTATGCGTTCTCTTAAAAACTGTATTCAACATTGCTTTGCACAACAATCTCATTAAACTCAGCCATACATTTAAAACAAACCCAAATGCACGTGGTTAGCATTTGAAAATTGTGAAATTTTTATTGTATTGAACGTAAACTTTGTAATCAAAAGAAAAATTGCTAAATATATAAAGAATGTGTGGAAACGATTTCAAACTTTGCTTTATTTAAATGGTTATTGCTCATTATAAAGCTTTTATTCTTCTCTTTCAAAGAACACGGTCACCTGCACCCTCCACACTTTGTAAGTGGCAAATCGCAATTTTACTTTATAAACGCCTTGGGGTAGAGGAAGTTTGTTTAGAAATTCATCCGAAAATTCCAGATTGTCCAAAATGATATCATGCTGTAAGGTTATGTAAAATATACATCTTTCTAATTATCTATGTATTATTTGACTTACATTGTAGGGACATGAGTGATTTAAATTTGACCGTGTCATAATGGCATTTATGACAAGTCCTTCAAAAGACAGCAAATTCGATTTATGCAAAAGCTGGCAGAGGTCTGTGCTGACATTGTACAAAAACGGGTGAAATCCATTATATCGGCGATAGATGCTCCAATTGATCTTAAGAAAATTATAAAAATAAAGCCCAATATTGAAAATCAACTGAGAAATGTAATCGTACCCATGAGTTTTCTACTGGGAGTTGTAAAAGCTTCAAGTACATATCCGCACCAACTCGACCTCTTCCAAGTAAATTGAGTTTACATTTTTTAAAAATTGCATACGATTCGTTAAATGATTCACACTGCATGTTTGTAAATCTCGATTTCTCCCGTCGACACTCGCTCCTAAGACTCAAGCTGAATAAAATAGCAGCGGCTATTGGAAGCCATCTGACCGATTTAAATGCCACCATTATTGCCGAAAGACTAACTGCTGTACCAAGCATGCACCACAATTTTAAATAAATCACTTAGCTGGGCATAATGAGCTGGAGTTTATTGATTTCGAAATCAGTTTAAATTTTAATCAACGTGAATAATTGCAAATGTGTATCATTAGTTTGTAATAAGTTTTATATCAACGCTATGTTGAAATTTATATTTTGTTCAGACGTACCTTTATACATTTTCGAAATCAGTATAACTTTAATTTTAATCAGGTAAATAATTGCAAATATGTCTCATTAGCAATTGAGCAGTTGTAATATTTTTTATATCAACGCTATGTTGAAATATATATTGCTTCAGGCATTTCTTTATACATTTTAACTTAAAGAATACTTTTGGGCTTTTCTGAGTATAATTGGTATTTACAAAGAAACTTATAGATTGTAGTCGCCGTGAAATTTCATGTTTATGGATTGAAAACGTTTTCAAAAAGTTTGGTTAGCAACCTAAATTAATAAAATAAATATGATTATGAAGGTTTTTAAAGCCAAACTATAGGTGTTACTGGACAGCCTCATATAACTTAAAGAAGCAATTTTTTTGTTTATAAACCATGTTCAATTTGGGTTGTTAAGCATTTTAAAAACTTAGAAATGAAACGATAGCGTTATCATTATCCCCTCAAAAAACAAATTCTTTGACCCAACGAGCCACAGAGATTACGTAAGCAGCTGCCATATCAGCAATACTGTAGGTTTCGTGGTTTGTTCCTCATGCAAACTATTTTCAGTACGATTATAAGCCGCCGTTGGCGAGGTTCAAATTACTGAAACTGTGGTGCTTCTTTATTCTCCTGGACTTGCAAGGATTATTGGCCGACACCCAGGATAATGGACGATCCAACCAACTAAATAACCTTCAGCTTGGTCTCATTGTGTGATGGTCTTCTTACAGGATTCCTGGAGGGATGTCTGTCCTATTTCTATCCTGTCCAATTTTGTTTAAATCATATGATTATCGTCAAAAAGCGGGTGCAACGCGGCCGGGCAAAAGTTTGAATTCAAAAGTTTGTCTGGCCGCGATGCACCTGTTTCTTTACGATAATCACAAAATAACAAATTGGACAGGATAGAATCAGGAAAGACAGCCATCCAGGAATCCTTTAATAAAACGATCTCGCAAGAAGACTTCGTGGTGGGTCTGCTGGAGCCTAATGCCAGGACTGTCCATTTTTTAAAGGAATTGATATCAGACAGACGTATTCAAAAACAAAATTGCGCAAAAATTTAAGCAAATGGATTCGAGACACGTAATACTCAACAAAATTGGACCGCCGCTTATCTCGAGTTGTTAAAAAAATAGACGACAAACTTGTTGCCATCCAAGCATCCCTCAACAAAAGTACTGATTTCCGGCTTGGAAGCCAAAAATCTGAGGGGCGATTTAAAAATGTTGCTGGCTTGCCGGAAGCTTCAGATACGTATATCCATAATACTTAATAATGTAGCCTCCGGCCAGACAGCAACCTTTTTTAAATTTTATACGGGACATCCGAAGAACTTAAACAACAAGCGGGACTGCGATCTTCTACAAAGTTATGAAAATTGATACCATGTTTGATTTTACTTGCGACGAACAACAGCTAAATATTACAATGAGTAGTAATTTTTATCTAATTTAAATAAATATTTTATTTTAAATATTTAACATTTTTGTTGCCTATTGTTTAAGTTTTTGTAAACCAATTATTATTAAGTAAAATAAAATTGTACAATAAATAATTCGTTTATTTGTGTTCCTTATTTGTAAAGAAGTAAAAACGTTGTATTATTATTATAATGGTTTTTTAAATTTTCAGGTATTTTCTTTTGCAGCGTGCCAAATGAATGTTAAAAAATCTTGAGCTCGACTGCACAAAATAATCATTTTTGTTCACAAAATGGAAAATTTAAATGGTTGAAGATACCATCGTCACTAGTTTACAACTTCGCTTATAGTTTTTTATTTGTGTGGCTTTAATTCATATTTATAGGACTTCTATGAGTCATTGTAAATAAAAAAACAAACAACTGGAGACTGTAAAACAAACCCCTTGGGACAACGGGAAATGCTAATCGCTTTGTAGAGAGTCAAAAAGTTCTCCACAGAATATATCAGTACCATTATTCAAAACAAAAACACTAAGCTTAAGAGCACTGAAGCACTTTCTCTTTTAAAGCCGCAAAGAGCTCCAACTCAAGACCCCCAAAACAGATAGCTGGTTTGGATCGCTGGGGCTCGAGCTGCCAGTAGTTTGTGCCAGGCAGCCGTTCAGTGTGGAACTTGATTGCGGTTCCCGCTAGAAGCCAGTTACATTGCCCCGCGGATCTCAGTGTGACAACGTCAAGAGAAGACAATTGGAAATCGAGGCTCACGACCAGTGAAATCTGATTTGAATTTAAATCAGTTTAGGCTTGTGTTGGCTCCGAAAAATGAACAAGCTTCCGATGCAGGCGTGGCGTTCCACAGCCTCAGGTGGTCCCAATCTGCGACGAAGTGTGTCCAAGATCGGTGGAGCAGGTTCGAGGCGCTTGGAGAGCCGCGAAAGCTCCACGGGCGTAGCCACTTGTCCACATCTGGTGGATCCAGAGGTAGCCAGTGCCCCGCGAATACACTCCACGGCCGAGTGGCAGAATGCCCTGCCCTACAATCAAATACCCGGACCGAAACCCATTCCCATTCTGGGCAATACCTGGAGGTGAGAAACCCAATCGAAATCGAAAACGTTAACGAAAGACTCAAGCCGCAAACTCACTCGCTTTCTCCGGCGAACTGCAATTGCAATAAAACCAAATACTCTCCGTTTCACTTGACCTAATTAAGTTGGCCAGCTTGTTCAACAATTATTGAATTAGCCGTGATGATGATGATGTGTATTTACCCACCACTTATTTGTTTGGGGCTTGTGCAAAAAACACGCAATTCCAACTAGTCTTTACCTCTATTTAACGATGATGTATGCTAACTTAAAGTTTATGGGCGGCTCTAAACTTGGCTTTCTTAACGATTCTTGTTAAACGTGCGTGTGGGTTTCCAGTAATTTACACCTGTCTAATCCTAAGCCTTAAGTTACAATCCGTTCGACAGCACGTCATTCTGGAAATTAGCGTTCAATTAGCGTTGAATTCAAGGTCGCCCTAATAACGTGTGAAATTTTGCTGCATGCTGACGAATTTTGCTCACAAATGGTATTTTTGCGCCTTTGGAAAAAGTCAATGCATTTTTCATTGTCATAGAGATTTGTTTAACCTTGATTGTTCCGTAGACTGATGCCAATAATTGGTCAATACACCATCTCCGATGTGGCCAAAATATCATCGCTGCTTCACGATCGTTACGGCAGAATTGTGCGTTTTGGAGGTCTTATAGGACGGCCGGATCTTTTGTTCATCTACGATGCCGACGAAATTGAAAAGGTAAGCATTAAACACGATAGTCTAGCGGCTGGGACTTTCCGCTTGGGCAGCGAACCACGAAGGCACCAAGCCATTACACGAATTTCTGGCACCGTACAAATTGCCGGCAGTTGTCGATTGTTAAGTTGGTAATTTTATGAATTTCCAGTGCTATCGAAGCGAGGGACCCACTCCCTTCCGTCCCTCGATGCCCAGTTTGGTAAAGTACAAGAGCGTGGTGCGCAAGGATTTCTTCGGGGAGCTTGGTGGCGTAGTCGGAGTGTAGGTGGAACGGTATAATTTGTTACATTGTTAAAATATTATATATTCTGCTGCATTCAGGCACGGAGAGCCTTGGCGTGAGTTCCGTTCGCGTGTCCAAAAGCCAGTGCTGCAGTTGTCTACCATCCGGCGATATTTGCAGCCCCTGGAGGTGATCACCGAGGATTTCCTGGTGCGCTGTGAGCAGCTGCTGGACGGAAATGAAGAGCTGCCCGAAGATTTCGACAACGAGATTCACAAATGGTCGTTGGAATGTCAGTATAATTTGTAAACAGCCATTTAAAATCATAACCCCACAAATTTTAATCTCCAGGCATTGGTCGCGTGGCTCTGGATACTCGTCTGGGCTGCCTGGAATCGGATCTCAAGCCGGACTCGGAGCCGCAGCAAATTATTGATGCCGCCAAATATGCCCTTCGAAATGTCGCCACTTTGGAGCTAAAGGCTCCATATTGGAGATACGTTCCCACGCCTCTGTGGACTCGTTATGTGAAGAACATGAACTTCTTTGTGGGGTAAATGAGGTATGAATACATTACAATACAAAAACTAATTTCTGGGGTCTGTCAGCGTCTGCATGAAGTACATTCAGAGTGCCACCGAGAGATTAAAGACACAAGATCCCAGTGAACGAGCCGGCGAGCCTTCGCTTGTGGAAAAGGTTATCTTGTCGGAAAAGGACGAAAAAATAGCCACCATAATGGCTCTAGATTTGATTCTAGTCGGAATCGACACGGTTAGTTAGCAGAATGCAAGCAAATGTATCCAAGTGCTAATAATTCCATAACTTTCAGATATCCATGGCCGTTTGTTCCATGTTGTATCAACTGGCCACTCGCCCGGCGGAGCAGCAGAAGGTGCACGAGGAGCTGAAGCGATTGCTTCCGGATCCCAACACACCACTCACAATTCCGCTGCTCGATCAGATGCACCACCTGAAGGCCTTCATCAAGGAGGTGTTTCGCATGTACAGCACGGTGATTGGAAACGGACGCACCTTAATGGAGGACAGTGTAATCTGTGGCTACCAAGTGCCCAAGGGAGTGCAGGCCGTATTTCCGACGATTGTCACAGGTAATATGGAGGAGTATGTGACGGATGCGGCGACTTTCCGGCCGGAGAGATGGTTGAAGCCACAGCACGGAGGAACTCCCGGAAAACTGCATCCGTTTGCCTCGCTTCCCTACGGATATGGAGCCCGTATGTGCCTGGGTCGCAGATTTGCTGATCTGGAAATGCAAATTTTACTGGCCAAGCTGCTGCGAAACTACAAATTGGAGTACAACCACAAGCCACTGGATTATGCAGTCACCTTTATGTATGCGCCGGATGGACCGCTTCGCTTTAAAATGACGAGACATTAGGTTGTAGATTTAAGATTTCGATTTTATACATGCTATTTGTTGTAAATAATTGTTAATTTACATACAAATGTTTAAGCTTTTATAAATTAGATTATAAAAAATTAACTTATCCTACTTTCATTTTCTTTTCCACATACGATACCAGTTTTTTACAGTTTTCAGACTCATATGTGCATCGGCTTTCGTTTCACCCTTAAGTTGGAACACAATATCTGTTTTGTAGGAATCTCGGGCCTCTTCCAGAATGGTTCCAAAGATTTCGCATTGAATATTCGATGTGAGCTTCTTTTCGTTGTAGTTACGATCCTTGAGACGATCGTAGAGCGTTTTGTTGGGACAGGTGACCACAAAGACGGCTTGGAACCAGCGTTCGGGAAAAAAGTCACAGCCATGGTATTCTACGATGTTGCCGCCCTTGGCCATCAAGGGTTCCAAATGGTCCATCAGCTAAATATTACAATGAAGTCATTAAAATTGTTAGGTAACGAGAAATTCGTATACTTTTTCTTCGTCCAAAATGGGGCAGTCGTATTCCGCGTCGTACTCCTCCACAAAATCGTTTTCCTTGGCGATTTTGGAGCAGTCCAACCATTCGAACTTTAGTTGGGAGGCTAGACGTTCGCATAAATACGATTTGCCAGCACCAGGAGTGCCTAAAATAACAATAAATTGAAATTAAAACATAAATTTAAATTAAAAGGGGCGAGTGAATCCTACCGGTTATTAATATGTTTGGCTTGGCATCAGGCAATAGCTCCGACATTTCTTTTACTTATTGTTTAGATTATGTTTGTGTAATAGAGCAGACTATTGTCAGAATTTGTTAAAAACGCTGTTGTTTTGTTTTTAACAACTGCAACACGTGAGGCAAATGTTTATTTTTTCTTATTTTGGTACTTTGACTGCCAACTTGTTTTCTTTGAACTTGCAGGAATGCCACTCCGATTGCTATGCTTTTGAAGAGCTGCCAGACTGTTGCTTTATCATTTCGTCTGCGTTGGCGCAAAAATCTAAATTTATTTTAATTACAAATTGAGCTAAAAGAATGAATGACATTAATTAAAATATATAAATATTTAAAAAGCTGGCAGTCTTTCTGATTACTGATAATTTTTTTGGGGGCCTTGGGGCAAAAAGCTTAATTTATTTTAATCGCTTAAATAAAAAAAAATAATATTAAATTGCCTGGTTATCCACGAAAAAGGGATGTTTATTTAATTAAACATAGGATTTTTATGAATGATATGTATTGCTCAGAACTAATCCTTTTATAACACTAATCGTGCACATATGCCTTTTTGTCGCCGTCGTGTCTATCTTCGTCTGTCTAACAACCGTTGCTTTTGCCTGGTTCTCTCTTTCATTTCCTTTCTGGGAGAATTTGTATCTCTTCCTCTGCCTTTGACACATTCTTCCTTTTCTTCATTCTCGTTATTGAAAGCTAGAACGTTCATTCCTCAACTTTTGAAGCTGAGAAATGTCCGTCGACCTGAACGGATCCGAAGAAAAAATGGAGCTAAAGGCGGATCCGGAAAGGCGCCAGCATGTGCCGTATATATTAAATGGGGAGCTATACCGCATCGAGAACCAGGTGGGCGATAATGTTACGGTCAAGTGCTGCTATTGTCCGCCGGATCGGATATATCGCGGGAGCGTGCGCTCCACGGGAAACTTTCACATGCACATTAAGGTAAGGGCTTAGGATTCTTAGGGAAAAAGGCAGCTTCTGACAATTTCATAATCCCCGGGAGCAGCGGCGTCACAGTTCGTTGTTGGGAAAACTGCACGAAATGAAAGTGGCTGCTTTGGAGGAACGCCGTGATCGCATCATGAAGAACCGACGCTTTGGCAAGCCCCGCAAGAAAACCCCGATCCCAACAACCAGTACGGCTCCGATTTTGCCGGAGATTCCAGTTTCGACGGGAATTGAAAGCCACGAGTTGAAAATCAAAACGGTGTTCCAGCGCCACAAGCAAGAGCAGGAGGGAGCTACTCGCAAGGTGAGCATTTTACAAGAACAGGAGCGAGATGTCAACATCTCACTTTGCTATTCACCGTTAGAGTAGCCCCACACTTGCTCATGTATTTATATACAGTATCTGTTCGCACGGCAAAATAGCTCAATGAAAAACGGAGCGTGTGTTAATGTGCTGATCTATTTATCTCTTTCCAGTCCGGAGATTCTACTTCAGATAACTGCGTCCAAGCCAATCCGCCAAATATCACAAACAGCCTAGGTGTTCTCATTCAGGATGTGAGTAATTTTGAATAAAAATATATACAGTATAGAACTTCCATAACTTAAAACTGTATATGTTGCTAAAAGCTCACGTTTAATTGATTTTACCTGACTTTAAATTATCTGAATCAAATTATTATCACGAATTTTTTAAAGCTTAACGAAAAATCGTATTTTTGAGTTAAGGCCTAAAAGGAATAACATAGCAATAGCTTCTTAAGGCCTTAAGCTCGTCAAGTAAATTTCAATTATTATTTTTTATATACATAGGTACATCGAATTTACAAGTCAAATTTCTCATAACATAGGCAAAAACAGCGAGATATTCCGACAATTTTTCGAAAACTACAACCTTTTTATCAACTTTTTTACACGATTGACTTTATGAAAAGCCTATGGTTTTTAAAACCAAACACGATTACAGAGCTATAGTTTTTAAGCATTTTGTATTAAAAGCCGTTTTTCTAAGTCGGAACGACCCCGATCATACCATATCTTTAGAATCAATCAAAAAATAGAAAAGAGTTTTAGTATCGTCGTTTTTTAAACATATACGCATTTGCTCAAGGATATACTAATTTTTTACATTTAAAGAAATTCAGTTTTAATTTTAAAAATATCGGAATCGGATAATAATATATAAATTGAAATATAGATTGAAAAAACCTCGAAACGATCAAAAATGTATTGGTAAATCGAAATTTTTTTTTACTTTTTATTTATTGGTCAAGTAAATAGTATTTTGTAAGTATTTTTTCAATTTTTTGTCATGTTAATAGTTACATCATAATTAAAATAGTTACAATCTTATTTTTGTTGTTCTAAAAAGTACATACTATTCTGAATGGTGAAATATATATTTTATTTGACAATCGAATCGAATGCGCCAAGTTCAAGTTCCGCTTTTGCAGCGAATATTTTTATGTTTTTCATATTCATTAATCTTTGATTTTAAGTCGTAAGTTTAACAAATAATGAAATGTGGTTGATTTCCAAGTACAAAAAAGCTGGTTAGGAAGATTAACTAATAATGAAATGTGGGTGTCTATAAAAAGCTTCCGTATAATTTAACAAAAAACAAGAAAGGAAAGCTAACTTCGGGCGGAGCCGAAGTTGATATACCCTTGCAGAATACTCTGTTAATTATATTCTCCAAAATTATTCATATGATGCATTCTTAATACTCATAAAAAATCCCAACTTCCTAACTTTAAAAACACCAAAGTTATGGCATTTCCAACGTTCAGTTATATGGCAGCTATAGGATATAGTCGGCCGATCCTTATGAAATTTGGTAGGTCGGATTGATTGGCCAAAAATAAAACCCATAGAAAATCCCAACTCCTAACATTAACAAACACCAAAGTTATGGCATTTCCGATTAATCAGTTATATGGCGGCTATAGGATATAGTCGGCCGATCCTTATGAAATTTGGTAGGTCAGATTGATTGGCCAAATATAAGACCCATAGAAAATCCCAACTTCCTAACTTTACAAACACCAAAGTAATGGCATTTCCGATCAATCAGTTATATGGCAGCTATAGGATATAGTCGGCCGATCCCGGCCGTTCCGACTTATATACTGCGTGCAAAGGAAAGAAGGGTGTGTGCAAAGTTTCAATTCGATATCTTTAAAACTGAGAGACTAGTTTGCGTAGAAACAGACAGACGGACAGACGGGCAGACAGACGGACAGACAGACGGACAGACGGACATGGCTATATCAACTCAGGAGGTGATCCTGATCAAGAATATATATACTTTATAGGGTCGGAGATGTCTCCTTCACTGCGTTGCACACTTTTGACCAAAATTATAATACCCTCTGCAAGGGTATAAAAATGTGATTGGGGTTGGGTCAGTTTTAACAATTCAATTGTTGATTTTGCATTTATTTTTATTTTTTTGTGTAATCGTTTTATTAAAAATTACATGTTTGTTATAGCTTACGTTGTATATAAACTATGTAGTTGTGTGATAGTTGTTAAAATTCTTATTATTCTTATATTCTTAATTAAAAAATTAATTTAACAGCTTTGGTTGGGTTTTTTTTCTTCTCAGGCCTCAAATGTGGAGACGCTCCCTACCAAATCGGCGACTACTGCTGCTAGTGTTTCCCTACTGGGTCGACCCGTCAAGCCGGAGCAATCAAGTGGTTCCTCATTCCTGATTGATCAACCGGCAGCCATCGACCTGAGCCGGGCTCCATCGCAGGGCGAAAGTAAATCCAGTTGCTCACTGGCCTCCTCGATGGAGGACGTCTCCATGGAGTACTCGCGCTCCCAATCCGTCTCACAATCGCTATCGTTTACCCACTTCTTGGAGCACCCACAGCGAGATGTCCTGCAGCGCCTGGAGCGCACAATGTCCCAAATAAATCAGGAATTACACTGTCGTAATCGGATTGAACATAATCGCTTGCTGTTGGAGGCGGCCAAGTTCAAGTTTCTGAATCCAAATTTTCAATTTGAACCCATTCAATAATGGGGTAATTTAAAAAAAACTCTGTAATATACTTTTACCAAAAAAAAGTGCCCTAAGGACATATTTAATTTTAAACTTCAAGAATCTGGATCCGAATCATCAAATTGATTCCACTCTATATTTGTAAGCATCCAGAATCTGAAAGTTTTCAATTTGAGACGACTCATAAACAGAAATTTATTTTGTTTTCCACATTTATTACAATAAAGTACGTTGAATCGATTAAATTATTTCGTTTTAAAAACTAGACTAAAAAAACGCTTTCATAAAATACTTTTAATTCAGTTGTGGTATTTCGCTGCTGACCGCAGATGGTTACACTCAATCGGCTTTGTTCTGTTTTTTACTTTTTTGTTATTGAGCCATTTTATATTTATTGTTTTAAATAATGGACGAAAACAAGACTTTAATTAATTTAGAAGATGATATCAGCGAGGAGGATGATCCGATTGTGCTTAATAAAAAGACTGGTCATAGCTCAAAGCCAATAAAAGATATTGAAGTTAACCAAAGCGAAGAACCCACAACTAGTTCTTCAGGTAGGACAGCGCCAGCAAATTCGGGGAATTACCCTTTAATAGATAATGACCACCCACCGCTATTAGAAAACTTTACCCCGCCAGTTCCTCGAGAAAGTGTAAGTATTTAACTAAAATAAAATAGGATGAATCATTTGGTTTTACACGTACTTCTTGCTTATCTTTGGTCGCACATATTAAGTTTATTACTCGATGCTCTTTTTTGTTTAGCAAATAAATGGAAACGCGGGTAGTGCAAGTAGAGACATCAACAATTTGGAACCAATTTTCCATCTGAGATCCCGCACGGCAGCAGCTTCCACACCCAATTACGAGGTCTGTATGAATATGAAGTGTATGTTTTGAGATTATTTTAAGTAACTTTTACGTTTGCAGAGCTTGGACTATGAAGTTTGCGAAAACACGCTGTTCCAAGACGAACAGCGAGAACAGCTGGCAGAGCGTTTTTCCCTGCGCAAGGACATTATAAGATGGATAATCTTTATACAGATTGGCATTATAACTGCTCTCATAGCCTGCAGCATAGATATCATAATCGAAGAGCTATCGGAACTGAAGTACCAATTCCTAATCAAATGTACGTCTAATTATCTTCCGTTTCGGGAAATTCTTTGAAACTCAAATAGATTTTGGTCCCATTTTTTTACGAAATATAGAAAATCATACTATCATACTATCCGCAAGGTTATAGAAACGCGGTAATTAGTCTCATTTTTTTGTTGTAAAAATCAAATGATTTGATTGAAATTTATCTTAATTGTAATTTCATCTTAGTTGTAACTTAATTTGCAAAAGCAAATATTTAGAAGGACATACACTATTTTTATACCCTTGCAGAGGGTATTATAATTTTGGTCAAAAGTGTGCAACGCAGTGAAGGAGACATCTCCGACCCTATAAAGTATATATATTCTTGATCAGGATCACCTCCTGAGTTGATATAGCCATGTCCGTCTGTCCGTCTGTCCGTCTGTCCGTCTGTCCGTCTGTCCGTCTGTCTGTCCGTCTGTCTGTTTCTACGCGAACTAGTCTCTCAGTTTTAAAGATATCGAATTCAAACTTTGACACACCCTTCTTTCCTTTGCACGCAGTATATAAGTCGGAACGGCCGGGATCGGCCGACTATATCCTATAGCTGCCATATAACTGAACGATCGGAAATGCCATAACTTTGGTGTTTTTAAAGTTAGAAAGTTGGGATTTTCTATGGGTTTTATATTTGGCCAATCAATCCGACCTACCAAATTTCATAAGGATCGGCCGACTATATCTTATAGCTGCCATATAACTGATTGATCGGAAATGCCATAACTTTGGTGTTTGTAAAGTTAGGAAGTTGGAATTTTCTATGGGTTTTATATTTGGCCAATCAATCCGACCTACCAAATTTCATAAGGATCGGCCGACTATATCTTATAGCTGCCATATAACTGATTGATCGGAAATGCCATAACTTTGGTGTTTGTAAAGTTAGGAAGTTGGGATTTTCTATGGGTTTTATTTTTGGCCAATCAATCCGACCTACCAAAGTTCATAAGGATCGGCCGACTATATCTTATAACTGCCATATAACTGAACGATTGGAAATGCTATAACTTTGGTGTTTTTAAAGTTAGGACGTTGGGATTTTTTATGAGTATTAAGAACGCATCATATGAATAATTTTGGAGAATATAATTTACAGAGTATTCTGCAAGGGTATATCAACTTCGGCTCCGCCCGAAGTTAGCTTTCCTTTCTTGTTACTAATGACGTTGATTGTTTTCCTTCTCTACTTAAAGCAAGTTTGCTGGTTTCTTTTCTGAATTTAAATTATGATTTATACAAATTTTTTTTAATAATTTCCTTCTTTATTTTCAGCTGTGCAAGAAAACGTTCCCCTCAGCGATGCAACCGAAGGCGATCTTGTTATTCCTTACCTTTACTGGCTTCTCTTCAGTATTTTGCCCGTGGCCTTTGGAGCAGCCATGGTTACCTACATTGAGCCCATTACTGCCGGCAGTGGAATTCCACAGGTGAAGAGCTACCTGAATGGCGTCAAAATACCGCGCATTGTACGGATTAAAACGCTGGCAGTAAAGGCCATCGGCGTGATAACATCAGTGGTAGGTGGCCTGGCTGGTGGAAAGGAGGGTCCAATGATCCACGCCGGAGCCGTGGTAGCTGCCGGAATCTCACAGGGCAAGAGCACCACGTTCGTGAAGGATTTCAGGATATTCAAGGCCTTCCGCGATGATCACGAAAAACGGGATTTCGTCCTAGGTGGAGGAGCAGCCGGAGTGTCAGCCGCTTTTGGAGCACCAATTGGAGGCATGCTTTTCTCGCTCGAAGAAGCGGCCAGCTTCTGGAACCAGAATCTCATTTGGCGCACACTGGTGGCCTCCATCATCAGCGTGTTTACCCTCAACATTGTATTATCGGCGTACCACGGCCTAAACGATTTTACGTTCACGGGCCTCTTTAATTTGGGCAAGTTCGACCAGCCGCTGAAATTTGACTACTTTGAACTGCCTATCTTCATGATCCTGGGTGTATCTGGAGGTTTACTTGGAGCCGCCTGGAACTCGCTGAACACCAAAATCAACAAATTTCGCAAGCGCTTTATTCCCTGGAAGATTGGCAAAGTAATCGAAGCGGTTGTGGTGGCCATCATGGGCGTAACTCTGGCTTGTTTGATGATCTACTTCATCAATGACTGTCGTCCGTTGGGCAACGATCCAACCAACAATCCGGTTCAACTTTTCTGCGAGGACAACGAATATAATGCCGTGGCTGCTCTGTGGTTTCAAACGCCAGAGGCCACAGTCCGATCTTTATTCCACGATCCTCCAGGTGGGAGTTTATCAAAGGGTGGCCTTTTTAATTATTTAAATTTGTATTTGTCTTACTTTTAGGTTCGCATAAAATCCTTACGCTAGCCCTCTTCACAGTCGTCTACTATGTGTTGTCTTGTGCCACCTTTGGTCTCAATGTCTCTCTGGGTGTGTTTATCCCAACTGCTTTAGTGGGCGCTGCTTGGGGGCGTCTCTTGGCTATGGTTACTTTTTACTTCTTCCCGCAGGCGGTAAGTAATGCAAGACGTTTTATTTTAAAGTTGCACCATATTTCCTTATTTTAGGAGTTCCTGCATCCTGGTAAATACGCTCTGATTGGAGCAGCTGCCAATTTGGGTGGAGTACTCCGCATGACCATTAGTTTGTCGGTTATTTTAATGGAAACAACCGGTGTGGAGAGTTCCTTCTTCTTTCCCCTTATCATTGCACTTATAAGCGCCAAGTGGGTGGGTGATTACTTTAACGAGGGCATCTACGATACGCAGATCCAAGTGAATCATGTGCCCATGCTCACGTGGGAACCATTGCCACAATATAAGGGCTTGACAGCTCAGAAAATACTGAGTAGTCCGGTGGTTTGCATCAAGCTTCGCGATAGCGCTCATTACATATACCAGATGCTGAAAAAATGTGAGCACAATGGATTTCCAGTGGTGGATAATGTGGAGGGGGTGAGTGTACTAGAATATTATGTATATTTCCAGTTATAAAATATTACTCATTAAAATCTTGCAGAATCGTCGTTCTGAGGGTCGTGTTTGTGGCATCATATTGCGTTCTCAGCTGATTGTCATCTTACTGAAATCGTTGTATGTGGAAAACAAACGTTTCTGGCTGCCAGAGACTTCTATTCAAACTTTTAGAGACCTCTATCCGCGATATCCATCAATAAAGGTAATTAGCAGGTTCTGAGATTTGTTAAAACATAAGTATTAAATCTCCCTTTTCAGAGCGTTCGCAAGCTAGATGAAAAAATAAACTACACCGTGGACTTATCCATGTTTATGAATCCATCACCTGTACGAGTCAATCCGGTGAGTCATTTTCAACCCAACAATCCCATTCGATAATGTACTTACTCCCCAATTTTTCAGCACGATTCGGTTCCTAGAATTTTTCAGATCTTTAGAGCTTTGGGTCTACGTCACTTGTTGGTCATCAACAATGAGAACCGCATCGCTGGCATTATAACGAGGAGGGATTTTATTTACAAGTAAGCTGTTTGCATTCAATGCAGACTTTTGAACGTCTATCGAATGCCAATGGTGGCTGTAATTTAGAACATAAATATTTTTTAATCCTTTGTAATACCCACTTATGATTAAATCACAAAAATCCAATTCACTTTTGATAAACTTTTGTTTTAATTTGCTCATTACGTTTTTACAACTTAATTTAATGATCTTAAACGCGTAAAATATAATCAATAGTATTCACAAGGAATTGTACAAGGTTTGTGTGTGGGTGTTTTGTTTGATTTGTATAAAAAATACGTTACATTTATGTAAAAGTAAAAGGGCTTGATTTTATAAAATCTTAAAACGCTAAACAGACGTGTTTTTGGATACTAAATACTAGCACAACTGTCTCGATCGGTTTGCAGTGCAAAAAACGATAAAATATACGTGACTTATCATGTGGGCTTGCGATTGTGTTTAAGGTGTGTTAGTGGCTTTATATCGACTTTAGACCCTAATGCTAAAAGCGCTGCCAGAGTAAAACTAATTCTAAAAGTTATGCAAAGTAAGCCTATAAAATTCTTAATTAGGAGCAAAGCGCCTAAGATTAAATGACTTTTTGTACAAAATGAAAAACAATTTTTTTCAATCATATATCAATGCCCACTGCCATGCTGGACTTCCGCACCAGTCGATGCTAGGTTCGGTTTAGCTGCAATCTCGATGACCGCGTCCAGGAACTGGTATCACATTAAAAACGAACTTTTTATCGAATACAGGTAAATCCTTCTAATTGTTCTCTTCTTCATCGTCATGTGAATGAATCTGACCAAGCAGAGACGGCTGCTGCTGCTGTTGCCGGTTAGCTTTCCATGGGTCGCACTTGTTGCAGTGCCTCCGCATTTGTAGTGGCCGCCGCTGCAGCTGCCGCACTATTGCAATGTTGCTGCTGAGGTGGCGTATTGGCATTATTGGTGGTCGAGTCCGCGGACAAAATGCTGCTGTTGCACATCGAGTGGGATGTCGAGGATACCGCTGACAAGGCCAGTACATTGGTCACCGCCGATGCTGTTGAGCCGGGCGGCGCCGAGTTAACCGCTGATACTGCTCCGTCTGGAGTTGGAGCAGCGCCACTAATCAATCCGCTGACTGCACTATGCACCACCTTGTATCTGTTGTAGATGCGGTAAGGCGTCTTCGACGTATCCTTCTGTTGCACCGTCTTGGTCTTGCTGGCGGATCCCCAGCCGCTGGCGTTAATCTGGTCCGCTGTCTTGCCCAGCAGCCAGTCGATGCAGTTCTGGTGCAGTTGATCGCTGACGTGCTGCTGCAACCACTTGTTAACGTAGGTCTGGAAGTGAGCGTATTTCGCCTGAGTGACGCGGCTATGACTCTGTAGGAAAAATATAAAAAAAGGGTAAATAAATTAGTAAAACTTTCAATTGCTTTTAATAAAATTCGTTCCAAGAGTTCTTTTCTTTCATATTAGTTTTTATAGTTGAAAATAACTAGAACGCCACTTAACGAAAGAACTACCTCTTTTACTCTTATCAAACACTCACCTTCTTGGCACGACGCACTGCATCGTACTTGAGTAGCTTGAGATTCTTGCTGGTTACAAAGCATCGCCCATTGCTGGCATTCGTGCTCATTTCGTCGCGATCATTGAAGGCGTACTGCTCGGCCAGACCCACCTGCGGGGTACCCAGCCTCTCCGGCAGACGTTTGCTGCCCCAGCTGTTATTGTTATTATTATTGTTACTGCCGCCAGAGGTGCTGCTGGTCGTCGAAATGACATTGTCGCCGGAATTGGATTCACCTGCTCCTGCAGTCGCCTGCTGCTCGCTGCGATTTCGTTTCTGTTCGAACAACTGACGCACTTGCTCCTCGTGCAGCTGCGACCGGCGCTTGTTGCGCAGCAAAAAGCGCGCCTTGCGAGCTCCTCTTCCGATTCCACCTCCTCTGTGGCCCAACTGTAATGAGAACAATTCAAAAGTCAGTCTTTATTATGCATAATTGAGAAAATTGCCGGCGGCAATGCAGCCAAGAGCAATTGAAATACGGCGGCAATTCAACATGCTCACAGAATTTACGAGATTACTTTAAGCTGGGAATGTTGAGATGTGTGGATTGTGTGTTGTAACATTACAGAACAGTTAGATAGTTAAGTTCGGGAATTTTAGCAAGATACAGAGAACCCAGGATGATGAAGGTACCAGGCCAAAAAACACAAAGCCGAAGACAAAGACTCACACTCACTGTGGGACAAACGCAAAACAAAAATCGACCAAATACGGGATGGGAACGAAACAGAACGAAATCAATCACATTTACCAGTACCATCAACAATAACAAATAACAAACAATTCTTAGACTTAAACTAAGTGAAACGAAGAGTTCTACAATGCGATGACGACTTACCTTGCTTAAAGTTAAGTCTGTGTGGCAATTACCGAGTTCGTTTGCTGCTCTAACCCCAGATAAAACCATAATACCCGACCCAATCTTGCCCATCCCTCTGTTTCAGTAACTTCGAATATGACTTTTTAATGGGCTGCTCCAGATATATTTCTCACTTTCACTCTCCAGTAATGTCCACAGTTGTGATTGTGTGTGCTATTTAATTTACAATTATTGAGTGTGTGGAGTGTGTGTGTTCTTATGCCTAGATATAAAAATGTTTACCGAATTTAAAAAGACATTTGGCTGCTTCCTTTACAAAATTAGCTACTAAAAGTTTTACACATAATAATACATACATTGACCGGTTACCATTAGCATTACGTTATGTACAGTTAAAACACGATAATTAATATATACATTTGTGTACGGTGTAATTTAGGCCTACGGGTAAGCACGATAATCTGATCATCAGCACCACTCACACACACCACACCCCAACCACACCTTTACGAACTTCATCTTTTTCATCACCATCCTCACATCATCACAACGCCGGTGTTGGGTCATCGATCAACCCAAATATCAGACTGTCTATCGCTATAGATAATTCTTAGATAACTCAAGGCATAACGAAATCAGAAAGGAATGCAACAAGCGCGTGCCTACGTTGTTGTTATCATGATCTACTATTTTACATAATGTCTGTCTTTATGCATGTTTGTGGGTAGGATTCTACATTTAATTGAGGCGTGTATTTTGGGTTTTGTATCCTCGTTGGTTATTGCAGTTTTTCGTTTGGTGTTTTTGGGCAAACATTAAATGTGTGTGTAAGTGGGTGGTAGTGGATGTTGAGTGTGGTAGTGGTGGTGGTGGTGGTAGGTGAAAAGGTTTGGTGTTTTAATTTCTCTTATTTTGGTTTTGGTAATCAAAAAACAAATTCATTTATTACTATTTCATTTTGCAATATGACTTTTTCTTCTTCTTATTCAATGAAATTATCAAAACTATGTTATTTCAAGCCTTGGAATTGACCTGGTACGAAAAAATAAATCGGAAAAAATGAGAGAAAAGAATGCAAAAAAGCATTAATTAGTGAATATTTTCTTGTTCTTTTTATGTATTTTTTCTTTGCTCGTATGCAAGCAGCGTACTCGTTTGTATGCATACGAAATGTGGGCGATTAATAAGTTGGCGGCATGTTGATAAATGATACCAAAACGAAAGATACAAAAATAGAAATAAATTTACAGCTGGCTAAATGAGGAGAGAGAAGATAAATAATAGAAAGTGCAGCGGCGAAAGTTGATAGGTAACAACAGATAGATAATCGAAAACTGAGGTATATTTATATACAGAATGCAGTACGGTAGGCTGTGGGCTGTCTTGTCCATTGTCTAAACCAAGTGGCAGGTATTGTATGTACAGTGGAAGTACCGAAAACAAAACTTAGGAGAAGAACAGGGAACCAAAAACGTAAACAATCGAAATGAACAACGAAATACACAAACAACATGGTTAACCACTCTTCAAGCACACACCACACAAAGCTGCTCCGGTTCAGAAGCATCATGGCTGCCTCGGCACACTCACCTCGGCAGTATCTTCCTCCTCCTCCGTCTTGATATCGGACGCCTCTACAATATTGTCGCTTCCCAGCGCCGAATTCGAGCCGGCACTATTCCCGCCACCGCTGCCGAGCGCAGGATTCGCCAATCGTTCCACATATTTGCTGAACTTCTGGGCCTTCAGCGCAGCCGGCTTATCGACTTCCTCAGGCTCGGAGTCAAGCAGCTCGATGGTCACTCGGCAATCGATTTTGTACTGCAAATTAATAATGTTTATGTTAGCTAACTTCATTGAGAGTGTGCGATTCGATCCGAACAACTTACAATGTACACCTTGAAGCAGTTCTCGTCGTTGAGAATGCTTTCCGCTTTTCGCTGATAGGACATCTCCCGGTCAAAAGTTTTGTGGGCATCTCGACATAATCCGCCGGTGCAGCCGCGCCTTTGTTCCGTAGCAAACAGCTCCACACAATCCAGGGCTGCTCGCTCTGTCACACAGTATTGTAGCTGGCGAACGGCATTAGATACAACCTAAGATAAAATAAATTCGAGAGGTTGGTATAATATGGTGTATTAAAATCCTAAAATTTGAGAAAAATATCTTTAGATAGCAAACCAAAAACAGTAAACCAACGTAATTACTTTTCTTTGGTGTTACTAGAATTTGTAGGAAAGCCTTTATCTGACAAGTTTCTTTGAAGTGCGGTTTTTATTTGCATTAATTGACAGCATACCTTATCCAGCGTGAAAGATATGTAGGCATAAATGCCAAACATTTCCCGCATAGTATCCTCGAATGTATTCGAGTCCATGTTGCCGTCTAGGACGTTCTTGAGCATGTCGAGGAAGGTCGGATAGTAGTCCTCAACTTGGATCTCCGGCTTGGGCTTTAGCCTCAGCGCAGTGGCCGTGCTCTCCCTTCGGTTCACCCGACAGCGCTCTTCTTCTATCGCCAGCAGACGCGCCCGCTCATACATGACGTGCAGACGGTCGCAGAGGATTGCATGAAGCCGCAGGAATAAATACCAGTTGTTGTTGGCGAAAAAAAGCGAGTAGGACTCGTCCTGGTTATAAAAACAAAAAAATGGTTTATTAATTATTTCAGTTAAAATCTTAATTAAACCTACGTCGTGCTGCCCGTGTGCGTGCGGTGGCAATAGTTTGGGATTGGCAAAGTCCGCAGGGTGCTCCAGTTTTATTTCCACATCG